AAAAAAAAAAAAAAAAGCAGTTAAACACAAACTTTAGTCAAAACTGGGATTGTTTTATTTATCATGTACATCAAATTCTTAACACCTGACCTGCAAAGTGACCAGTAAACTTTAAGGATATTAGTGCTCGCGCCCTTTTGATACTTAAGCAATTCCCTTCAAAAGGACGACAGACTTGACTTTTTCCAGGGATTAAAATATTTTCCTATAAAATGCTACCTAGTTAAAAGAAACTAAAACATTCCTTCCCATCCCCTTCATGAGGCCCCAGTGTGGATCACATATACTGTGTCATGGATCAACTGAAAGCTGAATTCCTAAGTGACAAAACCAGTTGATAACACGCTCAATCTGGATACCATTGGCACAAGAAGTCTGATCCTCTCAAACAAGTTTTTACTTTTTTCCCCCTGCAAAAACACTTATAAATTATTGCCGCATCCTATGCTTTACTGAATGCACCACAGAATGTGCAACCTCATTAAAGTTGCTGGACTATATAGATAAACATAAACAGAATATCATCTACTTAACTGCTAAAGCAAATATTATAACAAAGAACATCCACAGACATCTACCAGTTATGTCAGGAACCCATACAAATGTACATTTAAAGTAATTTTCCACATTACCTTAATGAGATTGTTTTATAATGCTGTATTAGAAATAATAGGCAAACATCTCTTGGATATTTTTCCAGCCATTTTTTTTGTTTCAAAGCTACTGCTTTTCACATATTAACTGCCTGTTAGAGGGGGGGCATCTATAATTGGTACCAGAAGATAACAGCTTCTCCTTTCTGCACAGCCTTCCAAAGCTTGCTAGCATTGCAGAGGCTGCTGCCAACACCATGTAATTGGATGTACCAGATCAGCAAAACCTGCTGCTTGGCTACCCACTGCTGTCTGCCAGCTGTATTTTGTTTGGTGATAATCACCTAAGAGAAAGGTAAAGCCTAAATATGTGTGCTAAGTGGTTCTAAAAGTTTTGTAAAGAGAAGTGGGAATGTGTGCTAGCATGGAGGCCTTTAAAAAACAAAAGGGCCTAAATTTAAGGAACCCAACCCCCCCTATTTTAAAAATAAACATTTTCTTAAAACTTTAAAAGCCTTAGAACCCCTTTTCTTTACCCTGTTAAAAACAGAGAAGGGAGGTTCCCTGTTACTGAAAATATTGACTCTCAGGATGCCAACATCCCTATGGAGTTTCTTTGACCTTATTGGGATCAGATGCAAAAAGTCCAACAACATACAGGGGGAAATTAAAGCTATGTTTACACAAAGCAATGTCAAGTGCTCAGAGAAAAAGTATTTTTAGTGATGGCATGCATAGGTTATTCTTGTAAACAGAGCAGTTATTAAAGCTCGAGTCAGAAGCGCCTCTTGAAACAGTCTCTGAGTAAGTGTCTTACAGGTTTAATGAAGAGCTCGGGGTTCACGGCACGGAACAAGGTGGTGGTTTGCACGCCCCGGAGTCCCGGGCTCCGACCCCCCTTTTCCTTGGGAGCTTCATTTGGGGCACTTGGTGGCTCAGAGGCTGAGGGCATCTTGACACACGCTGAAGTGTGACCTAGGAACAAAATTAAAAATAAATCTTCAAAACACAAGTGTCCGGGATCCATCCATGTCCCCCCAGCTCCGCGTCCTCCTCTGCCCAGGCCATCCACTCCTCCCCCCAGTCTTTTGCCGCTGAAGCAGGTGCTTTCCTCAGGCGACTGCTACTGCCGTTCTCCATGTTTTGAGGGAGCAACTCTGGCCTATCCCTGGGGTAGTGGGGGGCACTGCCCACAGCTACTCTCACTGCCTGCTCTGCCCCAAAACGGCCCCTGGTTGCTCCAAAACTCTCGCCTTCCTTTCCCATAATGGGCTGCAGGGGCCCATAATACCAAGCGCGCGTCGGGGAATGGCCAAGCCCCTGCCCCATCTCTGTGCACAGGTAGACCTCCCGGGCAGGGGCAGACCCCTCCCCCATCAACAGAGTCCGCGCGCGGGTGCGTGGGGGGGTGTTGCACACGACGCGCCCCGCCCCCCGCACCCCTGCTGGGTGAAGGCCGCCAGCCAAGCCCCGCCCTTCTGCTGCCGCGGGGGGTGACGGGAGCGGCCCGGCACTGCAGAGGGCTCGACCCGCCTTGCCCCGCCTCCTCCTGCTCGGCTCCCAGCCAATAGCCGCCCGGCGGCCCTGCTCCTCCCCGCGCCTAATCAGCAGCTGTCTCACGCGGGAGGAACGTGCGCAGAGGTGGGGGTGGCGGTAGCGCTGGCGCTGGCGTGGTGACGCAGAAGCGTAACATTATGACCCCACCCGGCGTTCTTAGCGTCCGACTGTGATGCGGCGGTGGTAGGGCTCTGGTCCCAGCTGCGGTTGTAGCGAGGGAAGAGCCTTGGTTTTTAATCAGAAGATGAATTAACGATCTTGTTGCTCTCGTTGCAGTAAGAGAGCTGGTAAAGATGTCCTCCTTCCAGAGAGGGCGGCTGGAGAGGCCCGCGGGTACCCGCTTGCACTGGGGGGGCTCTCTGGGTGATGGGCATCCCTGGCCCTTCATGGCCCCCCGGGTGACCCTGCACTCCGCATGACTCCTCCTGAGCACCACTTCCCCTGTGGCCATAACCCGGTCTCAAAACAAGGGACGGGGGACCCTGCACAGGTGCAAATAGGAACATGACAAGTGTTTACCCAGGTTTTGCCCAAGGCAGGTGCCCAACTGCCAGGGAAACGCCACAGGCTAGGCCTGTGTGGGTGGAGGCCGTGCTGGGGCCGCACGGGTTGTTTCTGTGACAGGTTGTGCCTTTTAGCCATCCAAGCAGTGTTAGACAAGCACCCGGTGGTCCCCAGGTTTGCAGCTCAGGCACATCTTCCAGCCCCCGGCAGAGGCTGTAGAAATGCAAACATCAGCCAGGACAAGTAGCTCAAACATGTTCACCTTGAACAGATTTGGGGCCAATGTCCTATTTCAGGTGTTTGGACCTGAATTCTTGATCTTCAGCTCCCCTCTAAAACCCTGGGGGGGCACTTAAATCATGACCACACTTGTCAGACTTCTCTGCCTCACTTACAAGGTCGGATGATTAGTCTGGTGGAGAGAAGACCGAGTTGGGTTTTGATAGGCAAGAGTTTATGCAGGTGATATATTTTATTGGACCAACTGGCTGGTTGGGACAGACTGAAATGTGGCAGGAGTCTTCACCTACCTGAAGGGGGGATGATAAAAGAAGATGGAAATAGGTTGTTCCTTGGTGGCTGTAGGGGACAGGACTCGAGCTGCAGCAGAGAAAATTTGGGCTGGAGATTAGGAGGAACTTTCTGACCATGGGTGCCGTTACCCATTCACTGTAGCACTTGCTACCTACAGTTAAAATGCAAGCAAACTTGCTTTCAAGCAGTTTGGCACATGTTAAGTGCCCTTGTGGTATGGCAAAGTTGTTCCCTTTCAGACAAAGGTCATCTCCAGGGATCCAGGTTTTCCATTTCTCATGGAGAAACAGAACCCCCCCACACACAGATTTCCCTGGCTCACTTTCCCCCTGGAGCCTTTGAAGTAAGTGGGGCTTGCAGGGGGCTGGGGGCCAGCTAGGGGCTCCCTCCGGCAGTGCTGGAGGGGCCAGGGGGTGGGGCTGCAGGAGTGGAGAGGTGGTTCCAGGCTCCATGCGCAGCTTCCCACCCACATGAAGGGCTGGGTGGGAAGCTGCACATGGAGGCATAAAGTCGCGTATCATTGTGCTGGGTGGGTTCCTGCTTGCCTCCATGAGCTGCTTCCTGCTGGAGTGCTGGAAGCCCCATGTGGTTGTGCACAGCCTGCCCAACCCGATGGCATACAGATCCTTGTCCACTCGCCATCGGGAAGCTACCCATAGAGGCATGGAGCCTACCTGGCCCTATGGCATGTGGCTCCTACCTGTAGTGCCACAGTTTGCATGTGCTGGCATGGAGCCAACCCAGTCTGGTCCAGAGGCATGCACCAGTGGGAAAGGCTGGCTCCATGCTAGCATGTGCAGGCCCTGGGACTCAGCCAGAGGCATGTGCCACTGAGCGCTCTGCCTGCAGTGGCAATGAGCACCCTGAGGGCCCGTTGCCTGCTGTTGTTGAGCCACTGGTGGTAGAAACCGCACCACAAACCACACAGCCACCCACAAACTCCATGCCTACACCCCACCACACCCCAACCATACAAAGTACATGCATGTATTTTTAAGAAGGTTCAAACAGTGTTATATTTTGTTTAATTTGTTAAAAAAAAATAAAAGTAATTCCCTTGGCATAATCTTGAGTTTTTCTGCACATAATTGCATTTTTCTGCTCATAAATTTTGAATTTATGGGCATGACTCCCCAGGGTGTACAGAGTGGTCTCAGCAGCAGCTCTGGTGGTGAAAAAAAAATATATCGGTACTTAGAATTTATTTTATTATAGTGATTGAGGCACTGGTAGGCTTCCCAATTGCTTTAAAACTGTAAATATATCAAAAAATGAGTTTGACTAATACCTACACACATACACACAAGATTTGGGGTTTTAAAAAAAAAAATCTGAAAATTTGTGATTTTTATTAGAGAAAACCAGGATCCCTAGACTCATCTCCTAACACATAGTAACTTCAATAGGTTACTATATTCCCATGATTTGCAACTATTGCAAGGAAACTTGTGACAAGGCCCTATGAGGGTGGGTAAACAGTAGGACAGGCTACCTAGAAAAGCTGTAGTATCCCCATCCCTGGGAATTTTCAGAATCAGGTTAGAGTAGACAGACATTTGACTAGGATGGCTTAGTTGCTCCTCTGCCCTGCTTTCTGAGAGAGCTTTTATTCAGGGATGATCCTACCTTGAGCAGGGGACTAAATGACCTCTTGATGTCCCTTCCAGCCCTACTTTCCTGTGATCGTAATAATACAACAAACTAACACCCCTGTTGCTTGGTTGTTTTTTAAAATATTTTCTTTTTACATTTTTTCCTTTACTTATAAGGACAGCAATGATCAAACTGCTTTCTTTTAAATGCCATTGTGTGCAAATACTACTGGCCAATTGTCCACTGCAAAGCCAGAATCTAAATTCTGGCTACAAAGAAACCTGAGTTATCTATTATTTGTAAAAATAACAGAGTGGGAGGGAAATATTTTTGTACTGGGGAGGAGTCAGTGGTACATCTGTGCTTTCTGTCAATATTTAACTCAACACACCACCTGCTAAGCTCATAACTATTGTTTTATCAACATGTTGTACAGCAAGTTCTGTGTTGAAATTCATCAAGCAGCAAAGAAATTCAGTATTAAGTAAAGATTACTATTCCCATTTCTCTTACTTTTTTGGGTATTTCTATACTTGAGGAAAATTAATATAAAAGTGTTTGGATACTTCTCTGTGTTAGTAAGGTTGCTCTGTTTTCTTGAGGTGAGGGGGAGAAACAAGATTCTGTGGTCATCCAGTACTCATGCTTCACACTTCTGCCACTATGCTGACACTGTACATGTAGGGCTATGGAAGTACCACAGTGAGATGAGGATATGCCTTCACTACTCAGTTGATCGGCTCTAACCAGTATTTTAGCGCTCCCGTTTCCATACAGAAAAACTTTTGTCCTATGTTTTGAAATGCTCTAAAACAAGGGGCCATTTGAACCCTGGCTGCAGCAGGCAGGCTGCAAACAGCTGCACTAGGGTCTGGTGCCCTGGCACCAGATCCATGGTGGTCACAGGTACATGCATGCCTCAGAGCACATGGTGGGGAACGGGCTGCGGCAGCACAACCCTGGTCCCTCCCGTGCCATCTGCCCAGAGGCATGCATGCACCCACCACCAGCAATGAAGATCCAGCCTCCAGTAACAAAGATCTGGCTCCCCCACCGTCTGCCTCTGGAACACTTAAGTTGAGGTTGGGGTGTTTTTGTCACTCCAGCCAAAAACGTTGCTGAACCTTGCTCTAAAAACTCAGACTAGCTGATGTAGCTGGTGAGGTGGGTTAACACCCGAGTAACTCAGCAACATCACTTAGGTTGACTCCTAAATTTTATTCCTGGTTTTGCTATGCATTTCCTCCGTGATTTTTGGAAAAGTGACTTGGTTTTCCTATCTATAATATGGGTGCAATTAGTATACTGATGGGAAACTTAATTTAGTTTATCATTATCCATTTGTGGAGATGCTCTGCGATAGACTTATAAAATCTGCAGTCAGAGTCTATCACTGCATGAGAAGTAACGATAAGAATCTCTCCCTCTTACAGCTTCTGACAAGAACAAAGTTATGACAGGTTTGTTTTTATCTAAATGAAGTCACCTAGGACTGCTCTGTTGCTGTTATGCAGCACACTGTGGCATCTCAGAACCCGAAGCAGATTTTCCCATTATAAAAGTTTGTGCCCTTGAGCTCCTTAAGCTACAAGGGCATCATTCTTAGCAGCAAGACATGGCTTGATCAAGCCTGACGCTCCATGCTCCAGACATCAATAGAACATAATTATCCAGTATCACCGTGCCTCACCCCCAACAACTCCTGCTTGCTTCCAACAGGAAACAAGGTGAAAGTTAAAAATGGGCTTTGAACTAAAAACTCCATCTTAAAGTATAACTGACCATTATATTAAAATGGCTAGATACCTAGTTATAGATCTATTAGGGGTGCCAGAGCACAAATACTTTCCATACAAGCATCAGCTCTCTGGTAGTAATGTGGGTTGCAGCATAACATTAGTCACACACAAATGTCAATCTTTTTCTCATATAAATGTGTGTTGCCAGTTAAGGTTATTATTTTGTTCAGTTTCTATGATTTTTATACTGTGCATTTGACCCTTTTAATTAGTGTTGTGTGTTTG